CAACTGATCTCTCAGTTTCTCAGTTTCTCTAGTTACTATCCTGTCCTCTTCTCAGTAGGTCTCCATTACCAGCCACTTCTCTTTCTGGTCACATGGCAAGAGGATGCCAAATAAAAAGATTTCAAAGCTACGGATTGCTGATTTCCCATCAAGCCTGCAGGAAATCCAAGACATTAATCCAGGATGGGGCATGTAATCCCAACACTTTGGGAGGCTAAGTCAGGACGACTGGTTGAGGCCAGAGGTCCAGACCAGCCTGAGCAACATAGTGAGATCCTATATCTACAAATAATATAAACATTAGCTGGGTGTGGTGGTGTATGCCTGTAGTCTCAGCTACTCAGGAGGCTGTGGCAGGAAATTCACTTGAGCCCAGAAATTTGAGGCTGCAGTGAGCTATGATCATGTCACTGTACTCCGGCCTGGGCCACAAAGCAGTACCCTGTCTCTAGAATTAAAAGAAAATAAAACAAAACATTTCAATCCATATCCACAAATCTGACAAGAAACCACTTAATCCAGAAGTTTTGGGGCCATCAGAAATGCTATTATAGGTTTGGCTTATCTAAGACCCATAGCTTTTTAAGTACAAGGCCAACTACCTTTAAAATTTATGACTTATGAGTTATATCCTGCATATTGTGAAATGATAGACATTAATATGTAAATGAAAGTAGGAGATATAAAAAAAGCAATGAAGAGGCAATGTGCCCCACATATTTCAAAATCCTACAGTAATATACTTTTATAATTTAATATTAAGTTTGGTGTTAAGCTTCCTTGAAGTGATGGAAAAAGGCAAACATGCTGGATAACATAATTCTCATTGTTTGAGGAAAGGAAGTTTGATCTCTGACAAAATTTTGTCAGGAAAGATTCTTTCTAGCCCAATTGCTCTTGAACTGTGAACCTATGATAAGGGATGCTGAACCACAAAGAGAACTTCTCTTTGCAGGGAAGGAGGAAGGTATGAGGTTTTGCAGAAGACGCAGATAGCCTCAAATCTCCCAATGATGAGGACTCACGTTGCCAAATATTTTCCTGGCATGTTGAGGATAGAACACTTGGGTAGACAAGGTCTACCTTGGCCAGGCTGCCAGAAATTGACCAGACATGGTGGCTGGCCCATGCCTGTAATCCCAGCACTTTGGGAGGCTGAGGCAGGAGGATAGCTTGAGCCCAGGAGTTTGAGACCAGCCTGTGCAACAGAGTGAGACCCTGTTTCTACAAATAATAATAAAAAAGAAGTCGTCTATAAAATGTTCTTATCCCACTAGCCCTTGGCTCTTTGATGTTATCTTTTTGAGCAGAGATGGTGCCAACGCCAACATTTGTTATCTTCCTGACCATTACAGGTGGCCTAATACTTTGGTCTTGAGTCTGCTCCTACTTTCTTATAGTAAAACCAATGCCTTGAACCCAGAAGGAGTGCAGTTGGTTTCCTTATTGATACTCCAGGAAGGAACTCACTGAGGATGGGATAGAAATTTGTATTCAAATCAGGAGACAAACTTTTGAGTCATTCATTCATTCAGAAAAATCTTGAGGCTGAAGCAGGATTGCTGAGGCCAGGAGTTTGAGACTAGCCTGGGCAACACAGTGAGACTTCCTCTCTACTAAAAAAAAAAAAAAAAAAATTAGCTGGGTGTAGTGCATGCGTGTATTCCCAGCTACTTGTGAGGCTGATGCAGAAGGCTCACTTGAGCCCAGGAGGTTGAGGCTGACTGTGAGACCTGACTGTGGCACTGCACTCCAGCCTGGGCAACAGAGTGAGACCCTGTCTCAAAAAAAAAAAAAAAAAAAAAAAAAAAAAGTCTCACTCCTACTGTGTGGAGATATGCAGGCTCCGGGAATATCATGGTGGACAAAACCCAGATGTGGCCCTGCCTTCATGTAGCTTAAGGCCTGAGGGTTCTGATCTAGTCTAAGGTGTGAGGTGGTCAGGGAAGTTTTCCATAAGGAATGGGCATTTGGGCAGAGATCCGAAGAAGAGAAGCAGGGAAGGAGGAAGGTATGAGGTACCCCACATATATGGAAGTGAAAAATGATGGAAGCAGAAATGAATATGGAGAGCTCAGGTAGAGGCGGCTATAGGAACGGAAGTGAAAAATGATGGAAGCTTGTGCTAGATGCGTCGGGGTAGGGATAAAAACATAAATGGACCAGGATTTATTACGAGGGGAAGTCAACAGAACTTGATGATTGTTAATGATGAAGAGGGAGGTGCCACAATGATCTGCCAGTTTGCTGACTGAGCTTAATGGTGGTGGCATTCACAGAGACTGGAGCACTGGAGATGTCCAAGCTCGGGAGGAGAACCCTGACAGCAGGGGCCCTAAGACATCTAAGTGGGCATGCTTGGTAGGACTTGGGGTTCAATATCCTGCTGCGATCCAGTGTTGCGTCAATCAATGCTGAATCATATTGCAAATCTCATTGTAGGACTGAATGTTGGATCGGACAAAATGTTGGAACTTTATAATAAAAATCAACAGTTAAATTGTTAGCATTTTATATGTAACTTTCCAAGCATTAGGGGAGAACCATGAATTTGGATTCTGCACAGAATCACTAAAAGCACCCTGCGTGGAGGAGCATGATTAAGGGGTGCCAACCCTGTGTGAACACGCTTATAAGACTGAGTCACGAGAATCGGTGGCTCAGCTCTGAAAGTTACCAAGACAACAGGGAGGCAAGGCAGAGGCTGACGTGCTCCCAACCAGACCCTACAAACTGAACGGTGGTGGTGAAGACATCACCAAGAGAAGAGCAGGAAGACCATTAAATGGGAAATGGTGATACAGAAAATAAAACTAATTTTTTTTTTGACGGAGTCTCACTCTGTCACCCAGGCTGGAGTGCAGTCATTCGATCTCAGTTAACTGCAACCTCCGCCTCCTGGGTTCAAGCAATTCTCTTGTCAGCCTCCTGAGTTGCTGGGATTTCAGGCGCATGCCACCACTCATGGCTGATTTTTGTATTTTTAGTAGACAAGAGGTTGTACCACGTTGGCCAGGCTGGTCTGGATCTCCTGACCTCAGGTGATCCACCCGCCTTGGCCTCCCAAAGTGCTATTACAGGCGTGAGCCACTGTGCCCGGCCTCAAAACTAATCTTATATGGAAAGAAATGAAAGAACTGGCAGAAATGCTTAAGTACTTCGAGTATGATTTTTAAAGTAGTCATCTGCACCCAAAGCTAGGTACAAATAACTACTTTTAGCTGGCCTAGCTAAGAGGGAAGGAAAACTCCCTTTTCCTCAAGCTTCCTCCTCTTTCTGTCTCGGGCATTCACCTGTGAGTCAGCCTAGACAAGGCCAAGGGACACGGAGGGGCAGGAATGTGCTCCCATCACTCCTGGGATCTCAGCCGAGGGAAACAGGAAGCAGCGTGTTTTTCTGCCCTACACACTTTCATCGCTATTACGTGCGCACAGAGCCCCCAGAGAAAAATGCTATTTGGTAGTGACCTGATAACCACATTCTTGGAGCTTTGGTCCAAGAATGGTAAAAATCCACGGAATGCCAGGGAAGGGAGAGGAGCAGCAGCACAGCAGAACCAAACACAGTCTCCACTGTCAACGGCTGGCTAATACGACATTCAACTTAATGTCTAACCAAGAAGTAGAAATTTTAGATGATCTACGTGGGGTGCCTTATCTTTCTCATGAAGAAATAATTTGTATGTTTTGAAAGTTTATCAGTGACTCTTAAAATATCAAACAAGCATTTCAAAGTTTTGTTAAAGATTTACCTTAGTAAGGCAGAAGGTGGTGCAGGTAACCCTGGAGTTTGGCTGGTTGGGTCCCAAGGTAACTGGGTCTAGAAGGGAACGGGGTCCAGGGACCCGTAGTTGCCATCTCCCCTCCTGTGGGCTGAGGAGGGTTCACTGGCCTGAAGGTGCGTCAGGGAGACCTAAGGTGCATCTGTGAATCCCTGTGACTGGGAACTGCCAGCTGCAGTCTTTCTGAAGTCCCACCCCGTTACTATGGCTCTCAATGTGTCTGTATTTGGAAACTTGAGTTCTGTGTACACAAGCATAGAATGCAGAGCTAGCATCGCGTTCGGCATGGATCCTCTGGGCTCATCCTTCTGGCCACACTGTTAGCGAAACCCTTTGGAACAGTGTGTTACCAGTCCCAAGACCTTGAGCAAGCTGAAATTGCTTTTAGAAAGTGGTACGGGCTCTCAAAACTTACATGATAAAAAGCGCAGAGAGTGAAGGTCGATAGCTCCTGTCTACCCTTTGCCAGCTGCTCTTGCCCAGCTTAGGGTAGAACAGTACTACAAAGTTTGGAAAATGTCACCATTTCTGTCCCTCCCAGCCTGATTTCATTTACTTATTCATTGATTCACACAGCCTGCATTCATTCACTCTGAATTTGTTAAGCATTACCATGGAGATTAGGCTGACCCTGCTGGGTACTGAGGATGCCAAGGTGTCTGAAAGACAGACCCTGCCCTAGTTTAGCAGCTTCCACCCTCATGGGGGCAGACACCTCAGCCCCACCCCGCACCGCCCCTCCAGTTCCCACTCACCGGGGAGCCCCAGGAGGGGGCCTTTCCTCTGCCCCATGAGGCCGGGAAAGGTGTTGCGAAGGTGCAGCAAACAGCTAAGCAGGATGAGGAGGGCAGTCCCCAGGGGAGGACCACGCTGGCAAAGGGAAGCTAGTAGCAAGAGCAGGGAGAGAGATGGCTTTCTGTAGCTTCCATTAGCCTTGTGGAAACGCCCCCGCTTTGGGGTAGAGGGTGAAGGTAGGCAAGAACTGTTAGGTTTTCTTTTGGCCCAGAATATCTGCAATAAATGTCATTCCCTTCTATATCCAGTGCACAATCATCACCTAGGAACTTCTTCACTGTTTCGAGGGACTAAAACCTATAGTTCAAATAAAACATGAGAACTCGGTGAACGTTTAAATGAACACCGGCATCCCCCACAGAGTGGGGCGCCCGACTCAGCAAACCCTTGGCCCACGGGCCCGGGGTGGGGACGCTGCGCGTACCTCTCACAAGTGACGCGGATGCGCTCGTCGCTGGACGACTGCTGCTCGTCCTCCTTCTCGCGGAAGTGCTCCTGCACGCACTGCTCCTCGAACTCGTGCAGCCTCTTCAGCTCCTCATCGCTGAGGAACAGCTCTGCGTGGAGGGAGAGGTGTCAGCCACGCGAAAAACAAGAATGTTTTATGGCCTCAGTGTGAATTTCACAGCCCCACGTTAATCAAGCTTTCTTCACCGCCACTCCGAAGGCAGTTCGCCACTACCCCCAACTGGTTTGTATCCAAAAAGGGGTTGGCCGGGTGCGGTGGCTCACGCTTGTAATCCCAGCACTTTGGGAGGCCGAGGCGGGCAGATCATGAGGTGAGGAGTTCGAGACCAGCCTGGCCAACACAGTGAAACCCTGTCTTGTGGTGGCGGGTGCCTGTAGTCCCAGCTACTCCAGAGGCTGAGGCAGGAGAATCGCTGGAATCCGGAAGGCAGAAGTTGCAGTGAGCCGAGATCGTGCCACTGCACTCCAGCCTGGGCGACAGAGCTAGATTTCATCTCAAAAAAAAAAAAAAGTGTGTGTGCGGTTGTCATACGCCCCTGTCAGTTGGAGCCAAATGGCCTGCTTTTAAACATAAAAAACAAAACTACATCTACTGGGAAAGTAAGGCCAAGTAATATTTCCGAGAAAACTTTTTATACCTATTTTTATGAATAGAGTCAAGCATAGAGCATTATTTTCTCATTTCCTTTAGATGCAACAAATTAAGACGTTTTGAAAGGAGCACTGAATTTATATAGAAACTTATAGTTATTTTAGAGAATCAGCTCAACTGATCTCCATGAGCTGGCTTTCCATGATGTTAATTACTAAAAAATGAACAAAACTAGAATAAAACGGACACAAAATGAGAAGCCTTTTGCAAAGAGCAGCAGTTGGACTGAGTGTGGTGCTTTTCACACGTGCAGTTAGTTGAGTGAGATTTCTGTGAGGATGTTCAGTTGGAACACTATTTGGAAATCAGCCCAACCTAGAAATGAAGGACCCTGCACGTACTCAATCCACGATCCCGTTCCTCTTGGTCCCCTTCTCTCTTCTTCCTGCAGCGGGCACTGAGACGCATAACAATGATATAGATGTGGCTTAAAATGATCATCGGTGGCGGCAGGACAGGCCTGTCATGAAATGTCATAATAAGCTGATATCGCTGGAACTTCCACACCTGGTTGGATATTGATTTTACTTCAAAGAACGTATTGCTTTAAAAAGAAGACATTTTTACAGTTAGTCATATTACCTTTTATAGTGATTGCCCAGAACAGTCAGAGTTACTCACATTTAAATGAAAAAATGAAATGGCCTTTCAGTGCCCTTTAGTACTGATTCCTTGATTATCTAATCTTTCGATTTATCCATCAATGCGGATTATGTATGCTTAAGGACATTGTACTCTTAAATAGCTAAGTGTAATAAATTGCTATGTACTGCTTTCTTGAAAAACCACACCATAATCTACTCATATACTCAGGAAACTTAATTTCCTATAGAGGTATAAGCCATTTAAATAAGCATTTTATCATGTTTAAACTTTCCATTAGTCTAACAAGTAGATGACTACTATTTTTTTCAACTGAATTGATTAGTTATTGAACTTATTTGATTAAAGTTTCATTATTTTGGACGTGGGGTAGGAACAATCTTTGTCTTACTTTAGCTTCCATCAGAAGCAGTAAGTGGATGATTTCACTGCCTGCAACGCAGGCCTTAGGAAAGCCAGTTACCTTCCATGACCTTAGTTTTCTCATCTCTCAAGCCAGAAGTTTGGACCAGGTTTTCTGTTCAATTCTAAGATTGCATATTTCTGTGAAGGCTTTCTCCCTCTATATTTTTCATCTTAGAAGCTAAAATCATTTTTTTCAACATTTATTGAGCATGGTCAACATACTTAACACAACATGCCAAATAGGTTTTATAAGAAACTTGATTTAATACTTTAAGCCATTTTTAAGGCCATTTTATCTTCTATAAATGATCAGAACAAAATGCTTTACATAGTTTTACAGTAATTGTAACAGCTTATAAAACTAATACTGCCTTTTGCACCTCTACTAATGAACGAAAAGCATGACTTGATCAAATCTTCTGTACCCCAGGAGACTTTCATCTAAGAAAATATTTTCATTAGATTAAGATACATGATAAAGTGTTAAAATACTAACCATGATTACATTTAAATGTATTTGTCAGTTCTTAATTTATGAATACATTAAGACTGATTAAGTTTGAGCAAAGAGACTGCAAAAATTCGATCTACTTAAAAACCCTAATGAAATTCCTGCAAATAAATTAATACCCTGGGAGATTTCTGAGATTAAATGGAAAGTCTGTACAGTAATAAATAATAAACGTGGTCATCGGCTGTGACACGTACTTGAACACAGCAATCAGCAGATTCACCAGCAAGATGTTGGCCACTAGTAGGTAACATGCCATGAGTGCTGGTGTGAGCCAGGCACCAGGGATACAGGGAGGAAGCCGCTTGCCCTCCTCATCGTATAGGTTCTCACCACAAGGAGCTGAAAGAAAAAAAAATTGTTTTGTGTTTTTTATTTATGATGAAAAGGATAAACATCTCTTACATATGTTTTTCAATGACCTATTTCTTTTTTAATATGATTCTTTCTTATTTCACAAGCAGTATTTTTCCATGGGAAAAAATAAATGCATACAAAGAAAAAGGTCAGAAACTCCTATCTGTACTCGGATATAGCCATTCTTTGTCATATTTCTAAACATTTCCCCATTTCTTTAGTGTGGCTTTCAAATATAAAAGTCTTCATTTTTAAACAGACAAATGAATCTTCATGTTTTTTCCCTTTGTTGTTATCCATCTGAAAGTCATTGTGGTGGCTGGGTGCGGTGGCTCACGCCTGTAATCCCAGCACTTATGGAGGCCGAGGCGGGTGGATCACCTGAGGTTGGGAGTTTGAGACCAGCCTAACTAATATGGAGAAACACCATCTGTGGAGATTGAATTTAAAAAAGAAAGAAAGAAAGAAAGAAAGAAAGAAAGAAAGAAACCCTGTTTCTACTAAAAATACAAAAATTAGCTGGGTGTGGTTGTGCATGCCTGTAATTCCAGCTACTCGGAAGGCTGAGGCAAGAAAATCACTTAAACCTGGGAGGTGGAGAATGCAGTGAGCTGAGATCGCACCATGGAACTCCAGCCTGGGCAACACGAGCAAAGCTTGGTCTCAAAAAAAAAAAAAAAAAGAAAAGAAAAAGAAAAGAAAGTCTCGGTGGCTTCTAATTATTTAACATTAGCTTATGTTGTCTTCTGGTTGCTTTCTTGTTTTCACTGACACATTACATTTGAAAATATTTTTGTTACGTCATATGGGGTAGTGATCCCCTCTACTTCCCAAACTGTTTAATCAACTGTTTTGACGTCCTGTTTGAAAAATAATCTTTTCTGCCTCTGCTCATTTGAAATGCTACTTTATGTCATAGGGGGTCTATTTCTCCCCTAAAAAAATAGGGTGATCCCAACAGTGAATTTATGGTTCTCTTTACTTTTTACTTACAGTTTTAAAAGTACTGGCACCAAAAAACAGTTTAAGACTATTAGTGATCAGCTAAGGAAAACATAATTAAGAAACACATTCCACAAACTAGAATAATCAATTCCACGTAAACTTACGATTAATTTCCATGGCGTAGACTACATAACGATTGGAAAGCAGGATTTTTGTTTTGTTTTGACAGGAGGGGAGGAAAGAAGATAAGATGATGGTTGAGAGAAAAGTAAAACAAGTGATTTAACAACAGAACTGTTTTGCTGTGAAGAAATGCAAATATTTTAAGCTTGGGAATTATTGATTCACACTTAGAAACAGTGATCTACTTAGAAGAATTACATACATTATAATTCTAGAAATGATATTTCACGGATATTTATTTTACCATATGTCATAAGCAAGAACAAAAGCTCACTAGTTAAAAATACTGTGAAAAAGACATGATGTTATTGGCAGATGATCATTCTAACTTACAGGTTAACCAATCACACACTCCCTATATTCCAACACAAACATCTCATAAGCACAAATAGCTACAAGATTATTAGTTAATAGTCAGAATAAGAATCAAAAACCTGCATTTAATTACATTACTGAGAACAGCACAGCCTAAAGTTTACCTCTTTACCTTCTCTCATAACCCAATATAATTTTTTTAAATCTAATATTGACAGTGGAGTGTTAAAGTCTCTAACCCAATATAGTTTTTAAAGAAAGCCTAACAATAAAAATATTACAGTTTATGTGTGGAATCCAGGGACTTTTAACATGTATATTCTGGCTTACCAAGCTACTAAGACATGTCAGCAGTTGACTCTGTGATACCTGCACTAGTGATATGGTCAGAATGACATTATAAAAGTCAGAAAGAAGGTAGTGCATGAGCTGGTTATCATGTAAGCTAGAGGCAATAGATACACGGACAGTCCTACATTGTATATGAGAGGAAGATGATAATAACTTTCTGTTCTCAAATAGCAGAGCTCTGGAAACAGCAGACACGCTATTGCAGCTGATGCTTTATGATAAAGTACAATATGCAAATGGAAATGTTGGTCCTGAAACGAAAATGGGACTGAAGTGCCTCCTTTACTGGTGGAACGTTTATTTAACTGTTCTGGTGAAATAGGTGCAAGAACATTTAAGCTTTATATCCCTTCAACTCGGAAGACACCGGCTCAGCCTGCAGAGGAGCTGGGGCTACATTCCCCAGAAATCTGTGCAGGATCATAGCCCATTTCCTCTGCTAACATCCAGATTATTTTTGATAATACAAAATAGCACTCTAATAGTGAAGACAAAATGGGTAGCTATGTGGAAAATGGGCTCTGATGGCTTGAAGAAGAGGATGGTGGGACGTATCAGTTAGTCTGCCATGTCACTAGTTTATTCTACTGGAAAACACTATCAGCCTTATCCTGGGGTGGGGAGATACTGAGTTGAAGAAAAGCTAGGCTATTGGCATTGGAACAGCATAGATGTGACAGGATGTCCCTCAGATCCAGCTCAAGGGAAGTGAGACTCTTTTGGAGTTCTAGTGAATTATTTTTTGAAGAAAAGAAATGATTAATGTCTGAGAAATAAGTACAAAGTTTCATAATTTGTACTTATTTCTTTGTAAAATAATTTGATGCTGATGGTGGAGTGACAAGTATTTTTTATTTCCAAATTAATACATGTTCTTCCATTAATTTGGAACTGATCATCTGCCTCAGAAGCAGGGAAGAGAATCTTACTATGAATTCTACTCTTACGGTCTATCTGGTCTGCAAACACCTCTCCATAGATCATCCAGTAGGGCATGTAGAAGATGTTTCGGGCCAGTTTCCAAGAAGGCTTCTCCTCCGGGTGCAGAATGGCTTGACGGGCTACTCCGAAACTCATGAGCACAACCAGCATGATGACCACAAAGTACAGCATGTCGATCATCTGAGTGGGGAGAACATTTGTCTGCCACTGTCTTGGCTCAATGGACCAAATTCACCCTGGCTCACTGTAATGCTTTCTCCAATTAAGCACTTCAGGAATGCTTAATTAGGAGGAAGAAGGCCTCTTGCCCCTCCTTCCTTCCCATCCACGGGAAGGCTTTTTCCTACTTCATGCAATGCTTTATGTCTAGAATGTCTTCTAGAACATTGCTCTTTTCATCTGCTCTTCAACCTTCTCGCTTCTCCTCGTTACCCTTAGTAACTACAACTGCAAATGGAGAAAGGAAAGAATTCTGAGAAAAGATGAGAGTTTGTACGGAATACTGAGGAGGAAGAGGAGGAGACACTGAGGAAATAAAAGGATAATTAATTGAGAGTACAGGCCAACATTCATTCATTCATTACACAAGTGCTGAGTGGCTACAGTGAGCAATGCCACGGTTACTGTGGATCCTAAACTGGTATCATTCCTAATTTTGAACATCCATGAAGATGGAGGCCCTTGCTGGATTTAACTAAAGCATACATCCCTTAGCTGAAAACCACTTGCCCTATAAAGAGTCCTTCCTAAACAGAGGTGGCTTACTTTCTTCTTGCACCAGTCCTAACACTGAGGCTCTTTGAGGTAATGTAAGGATGACCTGCTGGTTAATTTTCAGTTTCGTATGCTCTGGCCTGATCTGGAGTATAAGTCATGGTCTCACCATGTTAACTTCCTGTGTTCCCTGCAGGCCAGGGTACATGAGTTGAAGATCATCTGGAGTGTAGGTTGGGGAATGGCCCTGGGCTCCCTCTATTTCTGGCTTCTAGCACATGTTAGGAGGTTATAAGTCAGGTGGGTTGTTTTTTTTGGGGGGGTGCTCCATATGCATTCCAAAGTGGAAGAAGTCTCATAGAACATCAAATCCATGTCCCTGTACTGAAGAATGCTGAAAATATGTTTCCAGCCATCAAGAAGTAAATCTTTTAAGACATCTGTTTTGCTACTGAATTCCTATTGCATCAAAACTTGATGTTCTCTTATACCCTGGGAAAGTGAAGTTAGCTTTTATTAAAAAGGAGGCTATTTTCTTTTATATTCTTGTCAAAATTGACTCATTATAATAAATCTAAAGGAATAAAAAAACAAAAGTAGGCTGGGCTCGGTGGCTCATGCCTGTAATCCCAGCACTTTGGGAGGCCAAAGCAGGTGGATCACCTGAGGTCGGGAGTCTGAGACCAGCCTGATCAACATGGAGAACCCCCATCTCTACTAAAAAAAAATAAAAAATTAGCCGGGTGTGGTGGTGCATGCCTGTAATCCCAGCTACTCAGGAGGCTGAGGCAGGAGAATTGCTTGAACTTGGGAGGCGAAGGTTGCAGTGAGCCAAGATCACGCCATTGCACTCCAGCCTGGGCAACAAGAGTGAAACTCCATCTCAAAAAAAAAAAAAAAAAAAAAAGCAATTAGTTATCCTAGAGTTTTAATATGGATATGGTATCGAAGAAGGAAGACAGTATATATTGAGTGCCTGATATACACTGAGATATATGTGTGTTCGTGTGTGTGTGTGTGTATACACATATATACAGTGTACACAGGTAAACTATATATGTATATATACACAGTAGGCCCTCAACTCATGTTTTTCTATCGGATTTTATTAAGTTATCAACATGTAGGAGAACTGGGTATCTTAAAGCAAAGAATGTTGCCTTTAAAAAGCCAACTCAAAAGAAAAACCAAATGAAATTGAAGAAGGCCATGCCCAAGGCCTGTTCTTACGTCCTAACCACAGCCCAAGTCTCTCTGGTTACCCACAGGATGTCATTACTAACCATCTTTCCAATCATCATCACATACGGCCCCAGATACTTGTTGACACCAAAGATGTCCAGGACGCGGATGTACCAGAAGATGATATCCACACAGTAGATCACGCGGCCGTAGCCCATATAGGGCTGGTTCTGCAGGCGAAGAATTGCTCCAATCATGAAAGTGGAAATGGCCACGAGATCCGTGATGTTCCAGTACTCCTGAAGCCAAACTTTGATTTTCTGACTGAGTTTGCCTGGTTCTGACATGAGGATCTGAAAACAAACCCCAAAGAACAATACACCGAGATGCCGTATTATAAGTCCTGTCTTAGAATCTTGGAACAATAAGACTGGTGAAACATTCCAGGGCATCTGGCCCCTTTCCTGCTCAAAACCTCTTAACACTTTTCTTCTCAGGCACAGAGAGACATCTAGAAAGGGAAATTCCACGGAATCCTCCCTATTCTTTGATTCAGGGTTTTTACAAACTCAGGAAATGCCTTCTAAATTATGTCCTTCTGGCTGCAATTAAAGCAGCTGCATTTTTATTTCTTTTTTAATTATCTGGACACGTGCCTGTTCATCCACATTCCACACTCACACAGAACAACAACTCTAGAGCAGGGATGAGCCCTCTGTGGCCCCACGGAGGTTCAGTTCACCCAGTGGAGATGGCAGAGTGGGACTAGGAAATGTTTTGATTTGCCAAAATTCCTTTGCAACTTAGACATGAGAAATCAGGGGAAAGTGAGAACAGGTTTTCCCCTATGTGAGATAATATCTTCTCAAAATCACTGCTGCTTGAGGAGAGACTTCCACAGAGTAAAACGCAAGATACTTAGCAAGCAGCCCACACGGGCATGCGCAGAGCCGTTCCAATGGCACAGCTGCCGTGCCAGGTGGTACCCCTTCAGTTGCAGAGGCCGTGGGGATCTCTGTGGTAGGATGGGGCAGTGGCTATCTATCAGCCCACACAGAAGGGATTCACTAGTTTAACAACCCGTGCACACCAGCTGATGGCCACCCTCTGTCTCCTGTAACTGGGGACAAGTTCCTGGAATAAAGAACAGTGTCTCGGTGTATGGCGGACTCTCAGCAAGGTCACGACGGCACAGCGGTTGTAAGGCAGGCCACGCAGGAAATCCCAGTTGCAGCGCCTGCAGAATTTGAATGAAGCCCAGCTAGCAAAAGGAGCACTAAAAGATGGAATGTGTAATCTTAGGTTCAGTGCTCTTTTGGTCTCTCAGGCTCTCATTAGACCAATGCCATCAGATTCCCTCTACCTGGAATAGGTTAGTAATGTTTTTTTAGTTCCATGAAAGGGTCAACAGTAATCGCAAAATAATCGTACTGGTTCTGTACCAGCTGGAGAAAGGATATGAAATGGTGCTGTGGGCTGTTTCAGTTCAAGTTGCTTTTTTGCTTGGACACATGCTTTCTCTTTATAAGCAAATGTAGCGAATGAAAACTTCTGGATGACATTGGAAAGGGAAGTACCTGGCCCGTCTTTCCTCTGCTGTCTGCAGAGATTGCCTTCTAAGAGTTACATTTTCTCTCCAGCCCTCTGGGATAGTAAGAGTCATGTGTGAGATGGATCTGTTCTTTTTCAACACTGAGTTGAAAATCCTGTTTCCTCGGTTTGCAGCAAATGCTCCAGGCCCCTCCCACATGCCCTGGAGCTTTTCCCCAGGTGGGCTTGCCCACCCTACCTGCTGCAGGCACTGCTGTTAGGCCCACCCCTGCCCCCTTCTGGGAGGCTTGCCTTTGGATGCTTGGAACCACGTCTCTGGTGGGTACCAATGACTGATGGAGGTGGGGCCCAGAGGTGAGACAGACTCCACGGTGTCCAGTCCACGCAGAGCCCCCTGCAGGATTAGGCCAAGGGCAGGGTCCACCTGAAGCCACACCTTGCTTAGGCGCCTTTCCCTCCTCACCAGGAGCCCTCCTTGCATCAACCTCTCACACAGGGAGATAACATTTTTCTCCCTGTAACTTTGGATTTTGGAGCACACTGTGCAAGTGTCTCCTGCAGCTCTCTTTCTTGTTTCCAGTCCCCTCAAAATAAGCTGATATTCATACCCAGGTGCAGTAACTGGGTTATCTCAGGTTGCTGGCAGCATTTGCTGATGTTTTCCTACCGATTCAGACCGGTTTTCATCATTAAATAACATTTATTTTGCCTTGTGTTTTGGATTTCAAGTTCAGTTGAAGGAGGAGATGATACATATTTAAAAAAATGAATGGAATAAACTTGGGGTTCTGACACCTCCAAAAAAAAGTCCCACAGTATGTGTAATTTGGTTTTTTGGTTTTGTTTGTTTCTGAAATGGACTCTCACTCTGTCACCCAGGCTGGCGTGCAGCGGCACAATCTTGGCTCACTGAACCTCTGCCTCCTGGGTTCAAGTGATCCTCCCACCTCAGCCTCTTGAGGAGCTAAGATTACGGGCACCCACCACCACGAATGGAAAATTCTTGTATTTTTAGTAGAGAAGGGGTTTCACCATGTTAGCCAGGCTGCTTTTGAATTCTAACCTCAAGTGATCCTCCCGCCTCAGCCTCCCTAATAGCCAGGATTACAGGTGCGCAGCACCATGCCCGGCTAGTTTTTGTATCTTTAGTTGAGATGGGGTTTCACCATACTGACCAGGCTAGTTTCGAATTCCTGACCTCAAGTGATCCATCCGCCTAGGCCTCCCAGAGTGCTGGGATTATAGGCCTGAGCCACTGCGCCCCACCCATCATGTATAATTTGCATGCAATGTTTTTTCAGTAAGGAGCCATATCTGCATTGCAGCCAGCGGTTAGTGGGCTGGGGCAGGCCTTTGGGGTGGTCACCTCTCGTATCTTCTCCAACGCCAGGCTCACAATGTAGGAGATGACGATCCACTCCTGGAGGGAGGGCCAGCCGTCCATCCGCACCAGGATAACATAGTTAAACAGCAGCAGGTACCCCAAGTACGATATCTGAAAGAAAGAGAAGCCGGTAGCCAAAAAATAGCCGAAACCCTATTTTCTTTCATGTTGACAAATCTAAAAAAATCTTTGTTTCCAACTGCACTGACATATTGGGAGGAAAGCTTCCCTGCAGCTCAACAATGCAGACAGAGGACCCGGAGGCAGGATAGGAAGCATTTTATGCTTTAGCCCATATGGGCCCTGACTTTTCATTTTCTGCATAGAGACAAATTTGTTGGTGCTGTCATCCTTACGGGGAAACTACGAAGTTGCAAAAATGATGATAAATGGGAAATTGTTAATAGTTTGCTGGTGTGTCTTCTACAGTCCCAGAAATTACTCCTCCCTGCCTCACCAATTTCCTTCCTGATTCTTTCCACAGCTGGGAAGTTAGATGAGAGGGCTGTGGATGAGCTGCCCGCCCAGACTGCAAGCTGACCCTAGAGTCCCCTCAGGCAGCAGTGGCATGTCCAGGATTTGCTGTGGCCGCAGCACGGCCCCTATGTCTGTGGCAGGGAAAGAGGCAGAGCTGGAGGTAAGGGTGGGGTGAGGCAAAAGTGGGGAGCGAAGGGGTTGGGGGAGGAGGTCTGAAGTTGATCACCTGTCCCCGGTGATTCACCGTGACGCCAAGGAAACTTCAGCTTCTGGGTCCCTCACCGACACAGGCCCCTTTTGGAGGAGTGGGGGAAGGGCGCTAGAAGTTGAGTATTTGTAATTGGGCAGGTTTTTTTTCTCCAAGATCCCACCTCCCAATTGTGTAAGCTTCACCAGGAGACAGGCAGGCCCCTCCAGATCCACCATCCACTCCTTCAAGAAAGATTAGAGCCAGGTTCTCAGACTGCGGGCGGCATCCTAACCCCTGGGAAGCTGTACACTGTGTGGTGACTCCACCTCCACCCGATCCAGAGGATCTGGGGCGAGGCCCAAGGCTGAGAAGCCTCGATGGCTTCCTGGCCCAGTCCCCAGCAGCAGTCTCTGTGGCTGAGTTCTCCTGCAGGCTGGGTGCACCCCAGACCCTCAGATGGTTCTGACCAGAACTGGTGGGCAGCAGTGGCTTCAGCTGTATCATCAGTCGTGGCTGCCCCAAGGTTAGGTGTGCAGGCCCACAGCTGACCCTTGAGGTGGGGCCACACACAGAGCTTTGCTCTGCCCCCGGCCCACCTTCATTCATCACCCAGACCATGGCCAGGGACCCAAATTCTCACGTCCCATACCCTGCTCTTAGCTCATCCCCCGCACAGCCATACTAGCCAGGCCTGCCTGGCATGGGCTGTAGCTTGGTGCTTGGGGTTTCATGAGAAGTCTCTCTCCTCCCAACTGACAGGATTGTACAAGGCACAGCATATCTGGCCACCCCGACTGGGACTGCCGGCAGCTCTGCCGTTTCCCCCAGAGGCGCTCCGATCTGCCCTCCTGCCTCCTCGTTACCAGACAGCCACACTCTGGGAGCTGTGTAGATCTGGGCCTCGGAGGGGGATGGCTTGCCGGCCAAGCGGGTCAGTTTGGTGAGCACTTCAGAACGGAGAGGCCTTGATTTGCTTCCCTATCCCAAGGGTTTACCATTTGGATTAGCCATGCCCTTGTAATAACCCTGCCAGTTTCATGAGAAATGGAGTCTGTGAATTTGCTCTTCAAATCACTAGTCATCTCTGTTCATTTAAAGGTAAAATTACAGTTTCCTAAGTTTGTGTTGCTAAAGGCATCAAAAGAGTTCATCTTAAGCAAACAGCATATGACTGTTTCGCCTTATGAGATGGTACATTTGGGACTAGGATGGCCATGTATCAATATATGGCATACGTCACTATATGACAGGATATCAAGATCCAGTGTTAGCCAGAGATCTCAATTAGTCCCAGTTTTATTTTCATAATTCATTTTAATTCAGTGCATTTTTAGAGAGTTTTTTACGCCCTTGAAATTTTTCTTGATTCAACATATCAAAGCATTCCAAACATGCTGAATGTCAGCTGTTGAGGAGGAGGCCTTACCGTGTAAAACCAGAACTTGACAATGGGCGCGTTATAGAATTCACATATCTTTGTCCCGATGGGAATACTTTTCTGTTTTTGGTGCTCATTCTCCTCATCCCCCTTTCTTGAGCCAGCATCTGCGTTTGCATCCTGGAAAACAGAGCACAGCACGTGGCAGGCAAGTTGCTAAACGGGAAATGCAAAGCACACGGGCACCATATGAAAACACAGAGTTCGAAAAATACCCTTAACCTATGAGATTTCTCAATCCATGGTATGAGAAGTCTCAACAGCTTTCGAGACGACATCACAGGGATACTCTTAGGGTCAAGTGTGTCACTGACCATATTCTCCTCTTCTTTTTCTTTGCCATCTTCATTTTCCTTGGATGTTTGATACGAGAAATCATCGTATGTGCGAAATTCCAAAAACAAGATGGTAGGGGGAAGAAGAATCCCCATGATAACCTATGGGACAGAAATAGATTGTTTTAAGCCGTGGCAATTCTAGAAAAATTTCCCAGGATAGTTAAAATGTTTACATTATGACCTTCAACGTTATTCAGTGACCTAGGAGCCCTGGAATGTTCATCCCTGCTCTGACGTTCTCTGACTTCTGCTTGGTAGCTTGGTAGAACTGCAGACGGTAAGAAATGTAAGAGCATACATTAAATTTTTTAGATGAATGACAAGCAGCACTACTGGTAATCCTGACTTTAAAAAGAAAAATCCTGGCTGGCATGGTGGCTCACACTTGTAATCCCAGTACTATGGGAGGCCAAGGGGGGTGGCTCATATGAGGCCATAAGTTTGAGACCAGCCAGGCCAATATGGCAAACTCCGTCTCTACTAAAATACAAAAATTAGCTGGGCATGGGTGGTGCACCTCTGAAATACCAGCTATGCGGAAGGCTGAGGCACAAGAATTGCTTGAACAGTGTAATACCAGCTATTCAGGAGGCTGAGGCACAAGAATCGCTTGAATCCGGGAGGCCGAGGTTGCAGTGAGCTGAGATCATGCCACTGCACTCCAGCCTGGGTGACAGAGAAAGACCCTGTTTCCAAAAAAAAAAAAAAAAAAAAGTCCTTACATGAAATTTCTAGGAATGCAAATCTTTAAACAAAAATATAATATAAATAAAATATAATACATGTAGTGAAGTAGACGAGAAGTATTTTATATAGAAATAACTTTGACATAAATGAGACTATGTGAACTAAGAGTTACAAGACGAATGTGACTCACAAAAGATGGACTAACTTGGGCTCAGCCTAGACAATAAAAGGATGCCCAGTCTCATAGACAGAAAACGTGCTTCCCTTTTTTTATTTTTTGAGACAAGGTCTTGCTCTGCTGCCCAGATTGGAGTGCAGTGTTACAATCATGGCTAACTGCATTCTTGATCTTCTGGCCTCAACTGGTTCTCCCACCTCAGTCTCCCGAGTAGCTGGGACTACAGTATGTACCCCATTACCTAGCTAATTTAAAAAATGCTTTTTTATAGAGATGGAGTCTCACTATGTTGCCCAGGCTGGCCCTGTACTCCTGGGCTCCAGTGATCCTCCTGCCTTGGTCTCCCAAGATGCTTGCATTACAGGCATGAACCCCTTTGCGCGGCTGTGCTTCCCTTTCTATAAGTGTTTTTCTACACTCTACCAATGGCTCCAGATCGTTTTAAACTTTAGTTTGAATCATACTGAACTTGACCTTTTTTTTTTTTTTTTTTTTGAGACGGAGTTTTGCTCTTGTTACCCAGGCTGGAGTGCAATGGCGCGATCTCGGCTCACCGCAACCTCCGCCTCCTGGGTTCAGGCAATTCTCCTGCCTCAGCCTCCTGAGTAGCTGGGATTACAGGCACGCGCCACCATGCCCAGCTTATTTTTTGTATTGTTAGTAGAGACGGGGTTTCACCATGTTGACCGGGATGGTCTTGATCTCCTCATCTCGTGATTCACCCGCCTCGGCCTCCCAAAGTGCTGGGATTACAGGTGTGAGACACCGCACCTGGCGAACTTGACCTTTCACAGAACTTTATTGTTTTTCCTAAAATGTATGGATTCACCTTCTATTTTCTTGTTAAGGGTTATAAATTGCTTTGTTTCCCTAACCTGTATTTCTGACATATGGTGGCTTCTTAGTCATTCTATTTATCGGAATCATTTCTATTCTTGAGCACTTCCTTTTTGGATCACACAGACTCCTTGGCCTCATTTAATCTGACCGCCTTTCTCTTGGCTGCACAGCTTTTGTATGGCAATTTATAAATCTTGGGTCTTGTTTCTTACACTCCACTCCACATTTTTCGTTGTAATGTTTAGTTTTTTTGTTTTTTGTTTTTTGTTTGTTTTTTTTTTTGGCTTAGACTACCCACTGAACTAATTCTTCTAAATGGGGAGGTTGAAAGTGTATAGTTTGAGTCTTTGCCTGTCTTAAACATATATTCCTTCTCATGCTTTTAAATAGTTGGCCTGGGTTAAAAACATTCCAGGCTCCAAATGCTTTCCCCTCAGAACTGTGAAGGCCTTTCTCCACTGCTGCCTTCCGGGTTTCAGTGCTGTTGATGAAAAGTCTGATGCCAATTCAATGTTCATCCCCCTGTAGGTGATCTACTTTAGTTTCCTGAAAACCTTGAAGAGCTCTTTAGTCTTGGTATTCTGAAAACTGTGTATGAATATCCTAAGTTATGTATAATATCAGCTTAGCATATTACATAGAATTAGACAATTAGGCATAACATTCATATTTCTAAGAAACAAAATGCTATTTGCTGGAACCATACTACACGGTATAACTTGTATAGTCTTTTCTTTAGCCTCACAGAGATCTCTAAGGTAGGTATAATACTGCCATTAGATTGTTGAGTTATCTGCAGACTAGAACCTCTTCTCAAGATATCCTAGTAGTTAACAGCAGTAAACCCCAGAGATAGGGTTTGATTGCAATACAGTTTTCACCCCACTATATATTTTTCAAACCCTTTCATAGCTTCGTATTTTCTCGTAATTTTCTCCCATGTCATGAAAATATCCTCACCAGTTAAAATAATATACAATCTCAGTTATAAGGGAATCCAGAAATAAGTTCCAGTCCCTGCCTTAATGGTGGGTAGACCATTCAACCAGGTGTGTGTGTGTGCTGAGTTACGGGGGCTCTGTTAGGAGACTCTGATTGTGGCAGGGGTTTGTGGAGCCAGGTGGGCTGGTCAGGTGGGGCTCTGGGGTTAGACCACCAGGGTGTGGGTCCTGATCCCATGCTGACCAGCTAAGATCCTAGGAATGTCTCGTCATCTCAAAGCTTTGGGTTCCTCGTCTGTTAGACAGGGATCGCCCTGGCATCTTCCTCAGGGTGTTGCTCAAAGGAAGACATGAAATAACCCACAGGAAGTGCTCGGCTCACACTGGCAGGAGTTGTTTGTCACTGTGGCCCTGGCCCGCCTCCCAGTGCACTGCACGCACCTTCAGGCCAGGGTTCTTCCGCATCCGCAGCCTTCCCATCCACATGTCGGTCAGAAGCATCTGGCTGCAGGTGTGAGCAATGAAGTCCCGGTGTTTGGCTGCCACGGCCAGTTTGAGGCAGGTCGAGTTGCTCCAGTTTTTCAGCTCATAGGTCAGGAGTTTCATGGCAATCTGCTCATCGTGCTTATAGGACTGGTCTAATAACTCCAAAGCAAGCTGGCCGAAGTCTCTGGTGGGGGAAGAGAAGGGACCAGGGTGAAGTCACAGTGGTCACAAGCTCTTTGACAAGCGTATCCACAGGGAATAATGGAGCCATGGGACACAGAATCCTTCACTGGAGGGGCTTTGCGGTTCTCTGCAAGCAAGAAGCTCCAGAGATGTGTCCCCAAAGGGGGACAGCCAGGGACAGTGGCTGGGAGCTCAGGCAGGAGGTGAGCTGACCGCTCCAGCTGCAAATGGAGCTGTAGGTTGAGCCCACATCTGTCCCTCAGGCCCCAGCGACACAGAGACAAGACAAAGTCCCTTCCCTCGAGTTGTGCACAGATCAGGGAGGCAGACAGAAAAGACAGCAAAAGTGACTTCAAAAGCAGTACCTGTGGGGTTGGAGGCTATAGTAGCGGGGCTGCCAGTGGTGGTAGTGGGGGGAGGTGGACGCTGAAAGGGGTCCCAGGAGGGCTGGCGGGTGCTGACTAGGATCTTAGCTGATCTAGGTGCTATGGTACCGGCATGTCCCACCTGTGGACTGTCACCAACTGGGCATTTCAGATATACGCCTTTCTCTGTGCGTGTAACGCTTCACTATCACAGTGATTACAGAGAAGCCAACATTCTCAGTGCTATGACAGAGACAAGGCATAGCTGTCATAGGGCCCAGGCCAGAGGGTACCTAAGGACTGATGGGGGCAGTGTTAGAAGTCTGGGGGCATGGAGAAGGTGGCAGAAGCTGAATTTTGAGCATAAAGTTTACTGCCTTCCCCACATGACCCAGACTCGAATATTTGGCGATAACCATAAACAATCCAAGTTCCTTCGACTTTTTTATAATGGAATATGGTTAAGACGAGATCTCGAAGCAATCACCTGCCTCTGCTTTTGTTTCTCTAGTCTATAGAAGATTTTACTCCAGTGTCCAAGAGGATGAGGAAGGCAGAATCATGTGTGGGAGAATGGCCTTCTCTGTCCTTGAAGAGGAATGCCATCTGCAGTACCTCCCGGCCTTCCTGCGGGCCACACAGTGATGACATGTCACCATGTGGGGACTCTAGGAAGTAAAGGTTGGCATCGACAAACCCATGAGGTAGGTGGACACGGCCCCATTATTAGGGAGTCCTGAATTCCTAACGTTTAGAAATCAGCTGGTAATTTTAGAAATAACCGAGTCCAAAATAAAAGCAGTGAACTTCAGAAAACAAAGGTGTTAGATGTTGGCAGAGCTGCCTGTGCCCACCTCAAGTTTAGGCTCCTATAAAGTTGTGCTGGAACAGCTGGTTTCCAGTGTGGCATGGAAGGAACTTGGAAGCCGCCCTCCATCCTAACAAGTAACAAACTAAACAAGCTGAACATCAAATCCTTTTAGCTCCACTGGAGAAGTGGGGTCACAGGGCAAACTGCTGTCCCCCAAACTGGAGAGACAGACAGGCGGATACTGAAAAGCACAACTGAGTGGAGCAGAAACCTCTGTGGGGACCAGTGCAGAGTTAGGGAAATGTGAACTGTGATTGAGTTTCGATTTTAATGCAGAGAGAAGGCAGGAGGCAAAAACAGTGACAGTTAAAAATCCCTCTGAGAGACAGACAGAAAAATGCTGACGTGACGGACAAAGTGATTTGTGAACGAGGTTTAACCACCGCTGTCCTTGAGTGAGAAGTACCCTGGCCACCCCTCCCTGCAGAGACGAGCACCCACCAGGATGGTCGTCTCTCCTGGTCTTTAAATCCCCTCTAGACACTAACTTGGAATTGTTGTCCAAGTCCTGGGAGATGTCATCCACCAGATCGCTCTCGGAGGACTCGTGGGCCATGGCCTTGTAGAGCTTGCAGGCCACCAGGGCCTTGGCCATGCTCTCCTCCCCTCGCTGCCAGAGGAACACCGCCATTTTCTGGCGTTTCATCAGCACGGCCCACACCATCAGCTCGTGGAAGGGGTACTGGAACCGACTCACAGCGGGGTCGTCCACATCGATGTCGATCTCTTCCTCCTTTTTCTTCTTTTTCTTTTTCTTCCCTTTAGCTGGAGGCTCATCATCCTGAGGGGAGAAACATGGATGTCATGGGTTTGCCATAAAAGTATGCAACAGAGAGTTCCAGAACTCACTGAGAAAGGGACACCTTTCTGTCGCAGGTAATGAAGAGGCTTCTGAAGTACACCCTCCATTTCCACTCCGCATATTAATTGTTTTGAAAAGATGCACATGTTTATTATGAGAAGTAAACTATGTAAAGCCAAACGAACTGAGAAGCCATACTACTGTTTGGATAACTTGTATCGCTGAATCAGCAGTTTTACTTAGAAGCCTTTAGCTGAGGAGATGCTGTAAAACTAAAACAAACAAGCAAACCTCCTCCAAAATTAAATGCAAATAACATCATGGAAGAGGGGAGGTCCACAGTTTATTTCCTTGGGGAAGTCTTTGCAGTGTAGCAAAAATAACATTTGTTTGTCAGACATAGCTGAACCAGAAATTAATAAGAAACATGCAAAAGGGGCTAGAGAAAAATGTTTTAGATTTCCCTCCAGTATTTTAAGAAAGCAAACATTCCATTTTGAATGAGCATCGTCCTTTTCCCCATATGGCGCAAAAGGGAAGGCCAACATTTCCCATTTCCTAAAGGGATTACGAGAACTGTTTTGCAAATGGATCAGGATGCGTAAGAAAGACAGATCGTGATTGGGAAAACTGGCACGAAAAACGTGGGTCTCAGACTATTCCAGGCTAATACTTTAGTATTCAGTGGAAGAACAGAAACAGATGTTTGCTTTTTTGCAAACAGCGTTCTCATAAGTTATCTTCTTTTAGTCTTATGAGGACTCTGAAAGGTTGTGAATTCCTTCCATTTCCTCAGATTAGGAAGTTGTGGCTCAGTCCGAGTAACTCGGTAATATTCACACGGTTGGAGTGGGCTGCAGCGTGGAGGGTTATGGGGGACAACGCGGCCCTCCAATTCCTATCTTGAATTGTTCACTACTGACCCAGTTTTTATAATATCATAATGAGCTGTGACAACATTTTAATGGAAACTATAGTATCTTGACTCCAATTTAAATTTCTTTGTTCTAATTTTCTAATTTTGTCACAGTGAAGCTACAGTCAAGTGACATAGGAAAGGTTGGTCTGTACAGGTTAAAAATGAACACTGTAGAAATTTTAAGATAACCATAGATTATTTTCAAGAATATATAAGATAAAATAAGGGCTGGGCATGGTGGCTCATGCCTGTAATTCCAGTACTTTGGGAGCCTGAGGCGGACAGATCACTTGAGGTCAGGAGTTTGAGACCAGCTTGGCCAGCATGGTGAAACCCCGTCTCTACTGAAAATTCAAATTAACTAATGCCTAACGAGATGTTATAAAACAGAAGTCATTTTAAGCCTACCTTTCAATAACATATATTATTAAATATTAATTGTATGTAAATTCTCTTTAAAAACTGCCAAAGAGAGACTATGAGAAACAAAGAGTTAGTTTTCCTAAAATGCAAAAAAGTCTGTCACAAATCAGTGAGGAAAAGGGAAAGAAACCAATAAAGTAACAAGGGATCTGAACCGGGAGCGTCAGGAGAAACTGACATATTAAAATCATAGTAAGAGTCTAAACACACCTTACTTAGCAGTGAATTTGAAAGAAATTACAGGGAATTTCTATACAAGGAATAAAATTTGAAATCAATAACCGTGGGGTAACAACAATAAAAGTCTGTATCTGGGAAATCCGAAATACACTTCTGAATAACTCTTGGATTGTAAAGGAAATAACAAATGCCCTAGAAAGAATGACAAGGAACGTTCTATTTATCCAAACCTACAGAATACCATGAAACAATGCTCAGAAAAATTTATACCTGTAATGCATTTACAGGAATACAGGGAAGATAGAAAACGAGTGAATTTTCCTTTCAAACTGAGTTAGCACAAACAATACAATAACACTAGGGAAAGTATATGGAAGAAATGAATAAAAATAAAAGCAGACATTAATAAAATAGAAACAGAAAAAGGAAGCTGCTTGATAAAGCAAAAATACCAATAAAATATGTAGGAAAGAAAAAAACAGGAGATAGAAATTTTTTAAAAGTTGGCATAAGAGGCTGGGCTTTGGCTCATGCCTGTAATCCCACCTTGGAAGGCCAAGGTGGGTGGGTCACCTGAGGTTAGGAGTTTGAGACCAGTCTGACCAACATGGTGAAACCCTGTCTCTACTAAAAATACAAAAAGTAGCCTGGTGTGGTAGCGTGTGTCTCCATTCCCAGCTACTCGGGAGACTGAGACAGGAGAATTGCTTCAACTCAGGAGGCGAAGGCTGCAGTGAACCAAGATTGCACCACTGCACTCCAGCCTGCGTGACAGAGTGAGACTTCGACTCAGAAAAAAAAAAAAAAAAAAAAAGGCGCAAGAAATGACACACAATTGACAATACCGAGGAGACTGAAAACTACATTTAAAAAGTCTATTCCAGTGCTTGCTTCGGCAGCACATATACTAAAATTGGAATGATAAAGAGAAGATTCGCATGGCCCCTGCGTAAGGATAACATGCAAATTCGTGAAGCGTTCCATATTAAAAAAAAAAAAAATGAAAAAAAACAAAGTCTACTCCAGTGAACTTGAAAGTCGAGACGAAATAAATCACTTGAGAAATCTATAAATAACCAAAGTTGATGCTAGAAAATAAAAAGCCCGAATGGACTTATATTTATAATAGCTATTATGAAGTAGTGAAAGGTACACGTCTAAGAAATAGGACTGGATCCAGTAATTTTACAGGTGAGTCCACCAAACCTTCATGGAACAAATAAACCCTGACATGGAGAGTTTGAGAGAGCAGGAGATCACGGAAGGCTCATAACCCTTCCAGGAGCACCATGTTAAAGGTCCGTCTTAATTGTCAACACAGAATGAAAGCAGTCTACACTGAATCCATGAAGAATCAGGATGCTAGTTAGCTCATAAATTTATTTGAAAAGAATCTTTCCAGGACTCAATCCTAATATTCCATAATATGGCATTTCTTCCATCCATTTAAATATTTTTAGGTCTGGGACATTGTTCTTAAGGTTTCTGGTAAAAGTAATTTCTGGTACTTTTGTCTTATTGTGAGGGAACTTTAGTTGATTTTCCTGGATTTTCCAACTCCCCCCAAATGTTTTTGCTGATAATAACTTCTCCCCTGCTTGCGTATTCTTTCTTTAGCGTTTATTTTGCCTTGTGGTTCAATTTCCAGAACACTTTTGGCGACCAGTGGGAATAATGACGTCTACCGTACTGGACGTGCTTGTCTCGTTCTTGATTTTCATGGACATGACTCCAGGTCTGCATTACTCATCACACATTTCCCTCGCTCTAAGATACACGTGTATTTTAATCATCCCAAAAAAGTATTTTACCATTCTATTCTGAGAAAACTATATACTTTTTAACAAAGTAAGGAGTATGTTTTACGTGTGTTTCAAATTCTTCATTAGCACCTACTGAGAAATGGTCATCTCATACTTTCCTTCTTCTTTATTGATATGATGCAATATGTTAAAGACTAACACTGCATTATATTTGCATTCTTGGAGGACTCTACTTGTTTAGCACTTTGAAAATAGTCTATTGAGTTATTTTGGTATTATTTATGATTTTTGCATATCTAAGTGGTGTTATTCTATAGCTTTTTGTTTATCCTATTTTTTTTTGAAACTGTGGTTTTGCTAGCTCTAGAAAATGAATTGTGCAGTTTTTACCGCCTTTAAAGAAAATGTACGTATTGTCCTTTTATATAATTTGACTAAGACACCTACCTAAGTAAATTTTGGTGAGTAGTATGCTGTATTCGCAAATACAGAACTTAAAGGGCTATGTATATTTGACCAAGATATTATAAAACTTTAGAAAACAAATTCTACTTACTTCCATTCCCAGGAGTTTAAGAGCTTTAGGCTGCATGGTGAAAGAGGAAGAAAAACATCAATTTAGTCCGATAACCAATGTTAGTAGTTCATTAGTAGTACTGTTGGTAGTGGACATATTGATTAAAAAGTACTTTGTATCATTAACAATTAATGATAATATCCAAGGAAAAGAAGTGCTTTAAGGTGGAAACTCTTCTTCTGTCAGAAGTTAATTGAGAAGAAAGCTTTGCAGACACATGCCCCTTATTACAAGCAGAAGCAGAGAAGTTCCCTGAAAGACACCCAGAGAGCTGGGTGAGCTCTAAGCGGGGGTGTGAGGGGAGGGTGTCATGAAAGATCGGACATTTGATTTGGACTCTTGATAAGAGTGGGAAAGGCACTCATAACTGGGAAAGACATGGCAGGTACATGTCTTTGATTTGATCACAGGATTGGATTTTGGTGCATGTACGTGGTCTCCCAGGTGGGTTGGGGCCTGCTGGTGGAGGGCCTTGGCTGCTGTGATAATGAGTCTGGCTACGATTCTCCAGCCAGTGAGGGGCTCCAGGAGGTTTGGAGCAGGGAATGCTGGCGTGTCCCTTGCTTTGGAAGGTTATGGCAAGCACAGTGGTGGAATGGCAGGACAGGCTGGAGCGGGCAGACAGTAGTCCTGGAGCCCAGGAGGAGATCTGCTGTGGATACAGGAGGGCAGATGCAATGGGTGGGCAGGGTGCCCCCACGTGCTCAGGGGAGCCGGAGAATGCTGTGGCTCGGGCCTGAGAGTGTTGGAGGAGGCAGGGCAGGTATGCTGGGGATGGGCAAAGGGCTTGGCTCTGAACAGGCCATTTGTGAAAAGCAAGCGAGGAACCACGTGCCACTCCGAGAGCTATAGAACACTACACAGGCACCAAGTTCTACCCTCTTGGGTCCGAACAAGTTGTTGTAAAGGGTGCGAAAGCTCTTCCGAGTGTAGTTGCAGCGGTAGGCTCCTCCCATGAGGTACTCCAGCACAAGCCCGATGTCTATGAGGCTGATGTGGTAATCGGGTGGAAGGTTGCTCTGTAAGAAGAGAAATCTGTCTCAGGCCCTGTGAGAATGTGTTCGCGGTGTGGACCTCATCACATGCCTCGGGCGTAAGCGGCTGTCCTGGCCCCCACTTGGGGTTCATGGAAGGGGTGGCTGGGTAGGGGACTGAACAACATTCAAGCTGGGAAAAGCATCTATCCCTTGATAACAAGGTGGCAGAAAAGGCCAAGAACAGCGGCTACAATCAACAGGACACAAAATGACTTGAGGAACCTCCTGCCAGTGCTTCTGGCAAGAGGCACGAGCAGTGGGTGACAGATCTCAAAGGAGGGACAGAAGAGAGGCTGCGTGGACAGACGGCAGTGCTCGGGTCAGCGGCCAGGACACCCCTTCCCCAGCCCCACCCAGTGGCTGCCCTGGCCTTGTGCTGGCATCAACCGGTGATCTAGCTGTCACTGAGCGTGTCCCTGTCATGAATTCAGATGACCCTGCAACTTAAAAAAGATTATCCTTGGCTGGGTGCGGTGCTCACACCTGTAATCCCAGCACTGTGAGAGGCCGAGGCGGATGGATCACGAGGTCAGGAGATCAAGACCATCCTGGCCAACGTGGTGAAACCTTGTCTCTACTAAAACACAAAAAAACTAGCCGGGTGTGGTGGTGTGTGCCTGCAGTCCCAGCTACTCAGGAGGCTGAGGCAGGGGAATTGCTTGGACCTGGTAGACAGAGGTTACAGTGAGCCAAGATCGCACCACTGCACTCCAGCCTGTGACTGAGCAAGACTCTATCTCAAAAAAAAAGAAAAAAAAAAATCCTTTTGCATTCTTTTAAATAGACCCTTTTTGAAAGAAGGAATTCATTATCTCCTGTGCCTGAAATAGTAATACATTTTGAAAATTTAAAAATCACTCTTAAGAAATGTTTCTGTGAAAGATGCCAATAGGTTAGGATTATGAAACAGTAGACTGACCTTTTTCACATCCCTCACCAGCAGATGAAGTGTGTTTGGTGGACCCAGTCTCTGAAAGAGAAGCATTCATGTTTGTTAAATTTATTTTTCTTGGTTGGGTATGGTGGTTCATGCCTGTAATTCCAGCACTTTGGGAGTCTGAGGCGGGTGGATCACTTGATGTCAGGAGATTGAGACCATCCTGGCCAACATGGTGAAACCCTGTCTCTACTAAAAATACAAAAATTAGCTGGGCATGGTGGCGCACACCTATAATCTCATCTACTAGGGAGGCTGAAGTGGGAGGATCACTTAACCTGGGAGGCGGAGGTTGCAGTGAGCTGAGATTGCGCCACTGCACTCCAGCCTAGGCCATAGAGTGAGACCCCATCTATAAATAAATAAGATTTTTTCTTGAACTCTTCGAGCAAATTCCTGCCCTACTGTATATGATTAATGAATTGTGACAGATGAAGTGTAACCCATACCGGCCTTTTCTTTTACAAAACATAATTGGTCATGGTTAAACACTGTCCAACAGAAAGTTGTGAAATACTTTCTGTTCCATTTTCTTAAAGAGTATCTTTTTTTTTTTTTTTTTTTTTTTTTTTTTCTCTTTTTTCTTTTTTTTTTTTTATTGCATTTTAGGTTTTGGGGTACATGTGATGAACATGCAAGATTGTTGCATAGGTACACACATGGCAGTGTGCTTTGCTGCCTTCCGTCCCCTCACCTGTATCTGTCATTTCTCCCCATGCTATCTCTTCCCACCTCCCCACCCCCCACCCCTCCCCCATTTCCCCCCAACAGACCCCAGTGTGTAGTGCTCCCCTCCCTGTGTCCATGTGTTCTCATTGTTCAACACCCGCCTATGAGCGAGAATATACGGTGTTTGATTTTCTGCTCTTGTGTCAGTTTGCTGAGAATGATGGTTTCCAGGTTCATCCATGTCCCTACAAAGGACGTGAACTCATCGTTTTTGATGGCTGCATAATATTCCATGGTGTATATGTACCACATTTTCCCTATCCAGTCTATCATCGTTGGGCATTTGGGTTGGTTCCAGGTCTTTGCTATTGTAAACAGTGCTGCAATGAACATTCGTGTGCACGTGTCCTTGTAGTAGAATGATTTATAATCCTTTGGATATATACCCAGTAATGGGATTGCTGGGTCAAATGGGATTTCTATTTTTAGGTCCTTGAGGAATCGCCACACTGTCTTCCACAATGGTTGAATTAATTTACATTCCCACCAACAGTGTACAAGTGTTCCTATTTCTCCACATCCTCTCCAGCATCTGTTGTTTCCCGATTTTTTAATGATCGCCATTCTAACTGGTGTGAGATGGTATCTCAATGTGGTTTTGATTTGCATTTCTCTGATGACCAGTGATGATGAGCATTTTTTCATATGTTTGTTGGCCTCCTGTATGTCTTCTTTTGTAAAGTATCTGTTCATATCCTTTGCCCATTTTTGGATGGGCTTGTTTGTTTTTTTCTTGTAGATCTGCTTTAGTTCTTTGTAAATTCTGGATATCAGCCCCTTGTCAGATGGGTAGACTGCAAAAATTTTTTCCCATTCTGTTGGTTGCCGATTCACTCTACTGACTGTTTCTTTTGCCGTGCAGAAGCTGTGGAGTTTGATTAGGTCCCATTTGTCTATTTTGGCTTTTGTTGCCATTGCTTTTGGCGTTTTGGTCATGAAGTCCTTGCCTACACCTATGTCCTGAATGGTTTTGCCTAGATTTTCTTCTAAGGTTTTTATGGTATTAGGTCTGATGTTTAAGTCTTTAATCCATCTGGAGTTAATTTTGGTGTAAGGTGTCAGGAAGGGGTCCTGTTTCTGCTTTCTGCACATGGCTAGCCAGTTTTCCCAACACCATTTATTAAACAGGGAATCCTTTCCCCATTGCTTGTTTTTGTCAGGTTTGTCGAAGATCAGATGGTTGTGGGTATGTTGTATTTCCTCTGAGGCCTCTGTTCTGTTCCATTGGTCTATATCTCTGTTTTGGTACCAGTACCATGCTGTTTTGATTACTGTAGCCTTGTAGTATAGTTTGAAGTCCGGTAGTGTGATGCCTCCCGCTTTGTTCTTTTTGCTTAGAATTGACTTGGCTATGCGGGCTCTCTTTTGGTTCCATATGAAGTTTCAGGTGTTTTTTTCCAGTTCTGTGAAGAAGGTCATTGGTAGCTTGATGGGAATAGCGTTGAATCTGTAAATTACTTTGGGCAGTATGGCCATTTTCACGATGTTGATTCTTCCTAACCATGAACATGGAATGTTTCTCCATCTGTTTGTATCCTCTCTTATTTCGTTGAGCAATGGCTTGTAGTTCTCCTTGAAGAGGTCCTTTACGTTCCTTGTTAGTTGTATTCCTAGGTACTTTATTCTCTTTGTAGCAATTGTGAATGGCAGTTCGTTCTTGATTTGGCTCTCTTGAAGTCTATTACTGGTGTATAGGAATGCTTGTGATTTTTGCACGTTGATTTTGTATCCTGAGACTTTGCTGAAGTTGTTGATCAGTTTCAGGAGATTTTGGGCTGAGATGATGGGGTCTTCCAGATATACAATCATGTCATCTGCAAATAGAGACAATTTGATTTCCTCCTTTCCAATTTGGATACCCTTTATTTCTTTTTCTTGCCTGATTGCTCTGGCTAGAACTTCCAGTACTATATTGAATAGGAGTGGTGAGAGAGGGCATCCTTGTCTAGTGCCAGATTTCAAAGGGAATGCTTCCAGTTTTTGCCCATTCAGTATGATATTGGCTGTTGGTTTGTCGTAAATAGCTTTTATTGTTTTGAGATACGTTCCGTCAATACCTAGTTTATTGAGGGTTTTTAGCATAAAGGGTTGTTGAATTTTGTCAAAAGCCTTCTCTGCATCAATCGTGATAATCATGTGGTTTTTGTCTTTGGTTCTGTTTATGTGGTGAATTACGTTTATGGACTTGCGTATGTTGAACCAGCCTTGCATCCCCGGGATGAATCCTACTTGATCATGGTGGATGAGCTTTTTGATATGCTGTTGCAATCGGTTTGCCAGTATTTTATTGAAGATTTTTGCATCTATGTTCATCATGGATATTGGCCTGAAATTTTCTTTTCTTGTTGAGTCTCTGCCGGGTTTTGGTATCAGGATGATGTTTGTCTCGTAAAATGATTTGGGAAGGATTCCCTCTTTTTGGATTGTCTGGAATAGTTTCAGAAGGAATGGTATCAGCTCCTCCTTGTATGTCTGGTAGAATTCAGCTGTGAACCCATCTGGACCTGGGCTTTTTTTGGGTGGTAGGCTCTTTATTGCTGCCTCGACTTCAGACCATGTTATTGGTCTATTCAGGGTTTCGGCTTCTTCCAGGTTTAGGCTTGGGAGGTTGCAGGTGTCCAGGAATTTATCCATTTCTTCCAGGTTTACTAGTTTATGTGCATAGAGTTGTTTGTAATAATCTCTGATGATGGTTTGGATTTCTGTGGAATCTGTGGTGATATCCCCTTTATCGTTTTTTATTGCATCAATTTGGTTGTTCTCTCTTTTCTTTTTTATTAATCTGGCTAGTGGTCTATTTTGTTGATCTTTTCAAAAAACCAGCTCCTGGATTTATTGATTTTTTGAAGAGTTTTTTGTGTCTCTATTTCCTTCAGTTCTGCTCTGATCTTAGTTATTTCCTGTCTTCTGCTAGGTTTTGAGTTTTTTTGATCTTGCTCCTCTAGCTCTTTCAATTTTGATGATAGGGTGTCAATTTTCGATCTCTCCTTTCTTCTCATGTGGGCACTCATTGCTATATATTTTCCTCTAGAGACTGCTTTAAATGTGTCCCAGAGATTCTGGTATGTTGTGTCTTCGTTCTCATTGGTTTCGAAGAACATCTTTATTTCTGCCTTCATTTCATTGTTTATCCAGTCAACATTCAAGAGCAAGTTGTTCAGTTTCCATGAAGCTGTGCGGTTCTGAGTTAGTTTCTGCATTCTGAGTTCTAACTCGATTGCACTGTGGTCTGAGAGACTGTTTGTTATGATTTCTGTTCTTTTGCATTTGCTGAGGAGTGATTTATTGCCAATTATGTGGTCAATTTTAGAGTAGGTGTGATGTGGTGCTGAGAAGAATGTATATTCTGTGGATTTGGGGTGGAGAGTTCTGTAAATGTCTATTAGGTTTGCTCGTTCCAGGTCTGTGTTCAGGTCCTGGATATCCTTGTTGATTTTCTGTCTGGTTGATCTGTCTAATATTGACAATGGGGTGTTAAAGTCTCCCACTATTATTGTGTGGGAGTCTAAGTCTCTTTGTAAGTCATTAAGAACTTGCCTTATGTATCTGGGTGCTCCTGTATTGGGTGCATATATATTTAGGATCGTTAGCTCTTCTTGTTGCAGTGATCCTTTTACCATTATGTAATGTCCTTCTTTGTCTCTTTTGATCTTTGTTGCTTTAAAGTCTATTTTATCAGAGATGAGAATTGCAACTCCTGCCTTTTTTTGCTCTCCATTTGCTTGGTAGATCTTCCTCCATCCCTTTATTTTGAGCCTTTGTGTATCCTTGCATGTAAGATGGGTTTCCTGGATACAGCACACTGATGGGTTTTGGCTTTTTATCCAATTTGCCAGTCTGTGTCTTTTGATTGGGGCATTTAGTCCATTGACATTTAGGGATAGTATTGTTATGTGTGAATTTGATGCTGTCATTTTGATGCTACCTGGCTGTTTTGTTGGTTAGTTGATGCAGATTCTTGATTGTGTTGCTGCTTTTTTACCATTTGGTGTGTTTTTGGAGTGGCTGGTACTGGTTGTTCCTTTATATGTGTAGAGCCTCTTTCAGGAGTTCTTGTAGAGCAGGTTTGGTGGTGATGAAATCTCTGAGTGCTTGCTTGTTCACAAAGGATTTTATTTTTCCTTCACTTATGAAGCTGAGTTTGGCTGGATAGGAGATTCTGGGTTGAAAGTTCTTTTCTTTAAGGATGTTGAATATTGGCCCCCAGTCTCTTCTGGCTTGTAGGGTTTCTGCTGAGAGATCTGCTGTGAGTCTAATGGGCTTCCCTTTGTGGGTAACCCGACCTTTCTCTCTGGCTGCCCTTAGAATTTTCTCTTTCATTTCAACTCTGGTGAATCTGACGATTATGTGCCTTGGGGTTGCTCTTCTTGAGGAATATCTCTGTGGTGTTCTCTGTATTTCCTGGATTTGAATATTGGTCTGCCTTGCTAGGTTGGGGAAGTTTTCCTGGATAATATCCTGAAGAGTATTTTCCAGCTTGGATTCATTCTCTTCATCACATTCAGGTACACCTATCAGACGTAGATTAGGTCTTTTCACATAGTCCCACATTTCTTGAAGATTTTGTTCATTCCTTTTTGCGCTTTTTTCTCTGTTCTTGCCTTCTCTTTTTATTTCATTGAGTTGGTCTTCGACCTCTGATATCCTTTCTTCTGCTTGGTCAATTCGGCTGTTGAAGCTTGTGCATGCTTCACGAAGTTCTCGTGTTGCGTTTTTCAGCTCCATCAATTCACTTATTCTCCTCTCTATGCTGTCCATTCTCGTCAGCAGTTCATCCAATCTTTTTTCAAGGTTCCTATTTTCTTTGCGATGGGTTAGAACATGTTCTTTTAGCTCACTGTAGTTTCTTACTACCCATCTTCTGAAGTCTGATTCTGTCATTTCATCACCCTCCTTCTCCATCCGGTCTGGTTCCCTTGCTGGTGAGGAGTTGTGATCCCTTTTAGGAGGAGAGGTGTTCTGGTTTCGGGAGTTTTCATCCTTTTTACGCTGGTTTCTTACCCATTTTTGTGGGTTTATCCACCTGTTGTCTGTCTCTGTCCCAGGGAGTTGAAGCTTTATGAGTTTCCGTTGCACTACTGCCTTTTTTGATTTTTTTTTTTTTTTTTCAGGTCGGACCCGCCCAGCTAGCAGCACGCCTAGCCTCTGCCTGCCCGCAGGGGCTTTGCTGAGCTGCTCTGGGCTCCGCCCAGCTGCCCTGAGCTCTTCCCTGTAGTCCTTTTTATAAGGGCGTAGTTAGAACTGTCTCGGCAATGGTGGCCCCGCCTCTGTTATGGCGGGCTCTCTCTGTTGTGGCAGGTTGCCTCGGCAACGGCGGGTTGCCTCGGCAACGGCAGCCTGCCTCCATAGCGGTGGAGAGTCTCAGTAATGGCGGAAGCCCCTCCCCCACGGAGCCGGACCTGTCCCGGTTCAGCTGTGCTTGGTTTGAAGGGCTCAACCCAGAGGGTTTCCAATTACTGTTTTTGTTTTCGTTGTTGTTGGGGGTGGAGGGGTGGGACAAACCGAGCCTGATCACCTGGCTCCCTGACTCAGAGTCTTTTCTTTTAAGTTGAACGACCCCGCGTTCTGGTCGCTTGTTGAAAAGGCGCCGGGATCTCCCGTGCTGCGACTCACGGAGTCGGCTCGAACCGCGGCGCCGGCTCCTGGCGGATTTTTTGCCTAGGAATCTCCTGGCCTGACTCGCTATTTCAGATGAATGGGCTATTCTGCCCTCTCAGGGCTCTGCTCACCAGCTAAGAGGGCTCCCAGACCAGTGGCTTTTGTACGGAGAACCGCAGCAACAGGGAGTGGTCACAGCAGCCGCGCGGGCGGAATCAGCCCTGCGGGGGCCAAAACAGCCGCACCGGCTGGGACTGCGACGCTGGCGACCCCTCTGCCTGGGTATCTCCTGGTCTGTGGGCAATAAGAGTTCGTCTGGAAATGCGGCGTCCACTCACCCTCTGCACTTTCACTGGGAGCTGAAGTCCTGAGCTGTTCTTAGGCGGCCATCTTGAAAGTCGGCTCTTAAAGAGTATCTTAAGGTGCATGATATAGTGTGACAAATTCACCAAGTTGGCCAGAATCAGTGGCTCACACCTATTATCCCAGCACTTTGGGAGGCCGAGAGAGGTGGATCACTTGTGGTTAGGAGTTCGAGACCAGCCTGGGCAACATGCAGAAACCATGTCTCTACAAAAATTACAAATATTAGCTGGGTGTGGTGGCGTGCACCTGTAGTCCCAGATAGGAGGCTGGGGCGGGAGGACGGCTTGAGCCGAGGAGGTTGAGGCTGCAGTGAGCTGAGATCATGTCACTGCACCCCAGCCTGGGCAACACAAGAGACCCAGTCTCAGAAAAAAAAAAAAAATTCACCAAGTTTTAGCAAGCAACTGCTGAGGACCATTTCTGCTACTTAAAATCTTACAATAGAGAAGGAAATATAAATTCCCAAAACTTATATTGTAATAATATGAGCCAAGGGAATTTTATTCAAACTCTTCCAGCAGAGCTCTGGCCGTGAAGCTTAGCTCTGTGTTCTCCCCAAAAGCCTCATCAAATGTGAAGGTCCCGAGGAGCAACTGACTTCTCATCCTTGGTGACATTTCACTCTGCTAATGGCTTGGGCAGCTAGATTCTCTCTTTGTAGAAACAAGTGCTCAGATGCCACCCTCAAATGTCCTAAACAAGAGTTGATACTGCCCGAGAAAGGAGTGCCTGGCAAGGCATGGCAGTAGGTGGTGAGAATGTGAACACAGGCTGCGCCAGCAGCCAGTGAGAAGTAGCTGCCTGCCATTAGATGTGGACCTCCCAGCTGAAGGAGGTCAGATGGGTCTGTGCTCATCTGACCACATTTATGCACAATATGCGCCAGTGACAAACACATTCAGATGGCTGCCTCCCCCTTCTCTCCCTTTTTCGAGAGCACTCACTGTGTTATAAAGCTCTTCCAGCCTCGGAATGGTCAGAAAGTGTTGCATGTTCACTCCGTTTTCAATCAGGAGCTTCACAAAGTCGACCCGATCTAAGACTAAGGCATCCAGCATCGCTTGCTCCAAAGCATTCACCTGCAGGGACCAAGAGCCGGGAGCCTGTGAGTGGCCTCTCAGAGGCAGTGGGGAGGGCCGGACTGGAAACACAGAGGAAAGGATATTCTGAGCCCCAGATCCCTGAGCACTCTTTGCTTTTTAGATTGGATAAACACCCCCATGTTCCCTCTCCTTGCTTCTGAGTTTGGCCTCTACATGTTCTAGCCATGTTTGTAAATTGTTTTTTTTTCCTTTCAAAGATAAATTGAAGAGAATTCAAAATCTCAGCCCTCCTGGCATTGCCCGCCCAGCTTCCTCCATTTGTTTCCTTGACTGAGTTCTGCCAGGCGGAGCTAGCTGGGCAGGCAGCATGACCAGCATCGCTCATGCCATGCAGGTGAGTGGCCATGACAATGGCAGGCACACGTCACTGCAGAGGCCTGGTCCCCTGTCTTGCCTGTGTCCTGGTGGCAGCAAGACCAAGAACTGCTGTGCAGCGTGTGGCTGCAGCCTCCCACCCTCAAACTGCTGTTACCCCCACATACCCAATCATGGGCTCCGTCAAAAAAAAAGGGATTTTTGCACGAATTGCGTTTATTTGGTGACAACAGGCTTTTCTGTCATATTTTCATGCATCAAGCATTGGCATGTCTGCCAAGCAGAGAGCCAGTGCTGAGCAGGATGACCCAGAGCTCCTCTCTGGGTGGCATCATTCCCCCCAATGCAGGAACATTTGGTGTTTTGGACAATCTACAGGGCTCATCACAACGAATGTGCTGTTGTAGTTTGAAATGCTGACACTACCCAGTCAAGCCTTTACCCATCCCTCCTGGGATCAGGGCCCTGGATAGGACTGAAGCAAGGGCAAGAACCATCCCTTCCCCTAGGGAAGTGTGATGCCAAGCTGGTGATCTCCGTGACCTTCCACATACCCAGTTCAGCAGCTCTAACTTCCGGGGATCAGTTTCTTCCTCCACTTCCTCTTTCACTTTCCCTTTCTTCTTGCCTTTGCCTTTTCCTCTTCCTCCCTTGGTGGTTGCCGTGGGTGGCTTCTTCTCCTTCTCTGTGGCTTTGCTGTCCGCTGGCGGGGCCAGGCTTCCCAGGGGCTGCAGTTCACAGCAATCAGAGTTGGGAAAAGGTATTAAGGCTCTTTCCTGTCCCCAAACCAGCTCATCTGACCCTCCCACCTCTGTATGTGCACACACCCACACAGTGCACACACGTCCACACATGTCCACGTGCACACGGGCTCCATCCCATACACCTACACACTCAGTCATCGCAGGCCTGGCTGTCTGAAGAAGGCCGTGACACTGTGAACCTCTGTACTCATGTGCATAAACACACACTTGACTTGATGCAGCAGCTTTGCATAAAGTGGCTGACATTTTGATCGATGTGTGCTTTTGCACGAAAGAAAGGGTGCTGAAAGGAGAGATCAAAGGCACCAAAGAGATGTGCCCATAGTCATTCAATGATGGAAGAAAGTGATTGTGAAGGGGGTCTGAGACAATGGATCGAACTGAGGGTGCCTGCCTGGATGTAAATGTAGACCGGAGCTTATCGGTGGGTAAAGGAAGCTCTCCGGATATCACTGAGATGCATGCAACGTGGCAATAGACTCAGTCGTCAAGGGAAGCGTGTGCTCCACTCCAAAGAACAGGAAAGAGAGCAGAAGCGGGCCTGGCCCTGTGGCCTTGTCTCCTGGTCCAGTGGAGGACGTGGAGTGTGTCCTGGTACAGACAGAGCCAGCATCTACACAACTGGACCCTTCAGCTGGCGTCCTCTCTTGCCAGACCCACCCGTTCCTCCCACCGAATGCTCCTGGTGGGTTGGCTACCCGTGGAGCCTCCATTCCCTCCCTTCCCATCTCTCTTGCACACGCCCTGCTGCTTTTTCCCTGTCTGTCCGGAGCTCTGCATTTGGTTGCTGAGAACTGTGCCGGTGCCTGCCTGGTGGGCATTTCATGCTGGGTTCTCAACGCATCTGACTCCACTGCCTGCTTCCTTCCAGAGTCTCTTCCCTTGGCTTCTTGGCACCACAAGCTCCCAGCTTTCCTCTTCCCTGTCTGGCCACTGCTTCTCAGTGTAGGTTTAAATGTCAAGGTTCCTCTGGGCTCTGTCCTCAGTCTCCTTCCCTTCCACTCTACTCTGTTCCTTGACAACCTCATTGACGCCACACCAGCAGTCACCACTGACTCGTGCACAACTTCTCCTTCCTGGCTGCGGTCTGCCTCTCTCCCCAGAGCTCCTGCTGTCTGCTCAGCATCCCTGCTTGCAAGTCTCAAAGACTTGCAACTCCTTACGTCCCAAACCACACTCAGGACTGCCCCCAACCCAGTCCTCTTCCAGGGGCCCTTATCTCAGGGAAATGGCACCACAGCTTGCCAGTTGTGCAAGCCAGAGAACTGGGGAGCACTGCTGACATTTCAGCCCCTCCAATGCCCTCAATGATTCATCTACTCCTATGAGCAGCCATGTTTAATGCGAAATTTTGCTTCACGCTCTGATGCTCACCTTCTTCTCTGCCTCTGCTCTAGTCCAAGGCACCCTCTTTCACCTGAATTATTTCAATAGCCTATTAACAGGACTCTGCACACCTGCCATGGTACCCATGCAAAGCATTTTCTACAGTAAATCCAGAGTGACCTTTAAGTATAAAAATAGAACCCAGTAACTCCCCTGCTTAAAATCCTCAAGTGCAGTTTAGGCAGAGAGTACGTCAGGGGAGGTGTGCATTTATATAGTTCCTGGTGAACATACAGATATCGATGAAAAAGTGTCTTGGCTGACTCCTCATGCAAATAAGACCATTATGGTCTTGAGTGACAGAGTTATACCACATTCAACAAATGGTGCTGGGAAAACTGGATATCCACATGCAAAAGACTGGAGTTGGCCCCTTACCTTACACCACACACAAATACTAACTCAAAATAGATCAAAGACCTGCACGTAAAATCTAAAACTACTAACACAGAATGCGGCTGGGCATGGTGGTTCTGCCTGTAATCCCAGCACTTTGGGAGGCCGAGGTGGGTGGATCATCTGAGGTCAGGAGTTCGATACCATCCTGGCCAATATGGTGAAACCCTGCCTCGACTAAAAATACAGTAATTAGCCAGGCGTGGTAGTGGGTGCCTGTAATCCCAGCTACTCAGGAGGTTAAGGCAGAAGAATCACCTGAACCTGGGAGGTGGAGGTTGCAGTGAGCTGAGATTGTGCTGTTGCATGCCAGGCTATGTGACAAAAGTGAAACTCAGCCTCAAAATAAATAAATAAATAAATAAATAAATAAATTTTAAAAATCAAAATGCTTAGAAGAAAACACAGGGCAAAAGTGTCACTATATTGGATTTGGGAATTCAATTCTTGAATATGATACCAAAGGCACAGGCACAAAGGGAAAAATTATTAATAGCAAATTTGATGGAATTCATGAAAATTTAAAAGTTTTATGCAGCAAAAGATACCATTAATAGAGTAAAGGCAGCTACAGAATGGAGCAATGTATTTGTAAATCATACATATAAGGGGTTCACTTCCAGAATATATAGAGAACTCCTAAAATTCAACAACAAGAAAACCCAACCTATTTTACCTATTTACCAAAAATAGGCAAAAGACTTGAATAGACATTTCTCCAAAGAAGATACACAAATGTCCAATAAACACACACAAAAATGCCCAGTCATTAGGGAAATACAAATCAAAACCATCGGAGATACTACCTCGTACCCATTAAGATGACTGCTGTCTTTTTTATTTTCTTTTTGTTTTGAGACGGAGTTTTGCTCTTGGTGCCCAGGCTGGAGTGCAGTGGTGTGATCTTGGCTCACTGCAACCTCCACCTCCTGGGTTCAAGCGATTCTCCTGCCTCAGATTGCTGAGTAGCTGTGATTACGGACATACACCACCACACCGGCTAATTTTTTTTTGTAGTTTTAGTAGAGATGGGGTTATACCATGTTGGTCAGGCTGGTCTCGAACTCCTGACCTTGGGTGATCCACCCTCCTCAGCCTCCCAAAGTGCTGGGATTACAGGTATGAGTCACTATGCCCAGCCAAGATGGCTATTATCTAAACAACAGAAAATGACAAATGTTTGTGAAAATGTGAACAAACTGGAACCCTGTGCACTGTGGGTGGGAATGTAAAACGGTGCAACTGCTATGGGAGGAGTTGGATGATTCCCCAAAAAACTAAATATAGAATTACTGTAGGATCCAACTAATACACTTCTTGACATATACTCAAAAGAACTGGAAGCAAGTCCTGAAGAAGTATGTGTACACCTACATTCAGAGCAGCATTATTCTAAAACGTGGGAGCAACCCAAATGTCCACTAACAGACACTTGGATAAGCAAAACACGGTCTATCCATACAAAGGACTGTTATTCAGCCTTAAAAGGAAGGCAATTCTGACACATGCTATAACACTGATGTACCCTGAGACATTGTTCTGAGTGAAATAAGCCAGCCACAAAAGGGTAAATACTACATGATTTCACTTATATGTGGTACTTACAATATTCATATTCATGACAACAGAAAATAGAATGGTGGTTGCCAGGGCACAGGGAAGGGCAGGATGTGGAATTATTGTTTGATGGGCATAGAGTGTCAATTTTGTAAGACAAAAAAGCTCTTGAGGTAAATGTTGATGATGATTTTCCTTTAAAAATTGTTAATCCAGGAGGGGATCCAAGATGGGCAAATAGGAACAGCTCTGGAGTGCAGTTCCCAGCGAGAACAACGCAGAGGCTGAGTGATCACCACCATTTCCAAATGAGTTATTACTGCCCACAGACCAGGAGATTCCTGGGCTGAAAAGCACCACGAGTTTCCAGCACGGCTGTTTCAGCCGGCGCAGCACGTCTCTGCACAAAAACTCACACAAATCTGGGCGGTCATTTCAACTGCTGTCTGCAATGCGTGGGAGACAGTTGCCCATTCAACTGAATAAAAGGGGACTGAAACAGGAGCCAGGTGATCTGGCTCAGCAGGTCCCACCCCCACAAAGTCCAGCAATCTGAAATGCTCTGGATTGAGAGTTTCGCAGCAAGGGCAGCTGGACTCAGGATGGTCCAGCTTTGTGGGGGGAAGGGCGTCCGACATTACTGAGGCAGTCCCCCACTACCGAGGCAGTTCACCATTACCAAGGCAGTCCGCTGTTACAGACGCAGTCCACCATTACTGGGGTGGACCACCATTACCGAGGTAGTTCTAACCATACCTCTGTAAACAAAACCGTAAGGAAGTTCACACGGCAGCTGGGCAGAGCCCACAGCAGCTCAGCAATGCCTCTGCTGGCAGACTGTGACTAGGCTAGCTCCTTGTTGGGCTAGGGCATCTATGAAAAAAGGCAGTAGCCATTAGGAACTTATAAATAAAGCCCTACCTTCCCAGGACAGAGCACCTGGGGAAAAGGCGGTTATGAGTTCTGCTGCAGCAGACTTAAATGTACCTGCCCAGCAGATCTGAATGGAACAACGGAGCTCACAGCACAGCACTTGAGCTCCTGTAAGGGACAGACTGTCTCCTCAAACAGCTCCCCAACCCCTATATATCCAAAGAGACACCTCATAAAGGAGAGCTCAGGCTGACATCTGGCGAGTATCCTTCTGGGACAAAGATAACAGAAGAAGAAACTGGCAGCAACCCTTACTGCTCTGCAGCCACCACAGGTGATCCCCAGGCAAGCAGGGTCTGGAGTGGACCTCCAGCAGTCCTACAGCAGAGTGACCTGACTGTTAGAAGGAAAACTAAAAAACAGAAAGAAATAACTTCAACATCAACAAAAAGGACATCCAATCGCAGACCCCATCTGAAAGTCACCAACTACAAAGACCACAGGTAGATAAATCCACAAAGATGGGAAGAAACCAGCGCAAAAAGGATGAAAACACCCAAAACCAGAACACCTCTCCTCCTCCAAGGGATCACAACTCCTCACCAGCAAGGGAACAAAGCTGGATGGAGAATGAGTCTGATGAATTGACAGAAATGGGCTTCAGAAGGTGGGTAATAACAAACTTCTCTGGCAAAAAGAACGTGTTCTAACCCAATGCAAAGAAACTAAGAACCTTGAAAAAAGGTTTGATG